GTTGGTTGGTGGAGGGCCTGGGCTGGGCGGGCTGGGATGCGCCTTGCTTGGGCGGTTGTTGGTTGGGCTGGTTGGTGAGACAAGGCTGGTTTGTCTGACGTGTGGCCCCTGGAGCTGGACGCCGACGAACCCCGAAAATTTCAAGGCCCGCCGGACAGGATCTTAGGGCCAGCAGACATGGGTGAGGGGGTGGCCGCCGAATTTTGGGCGGGGAGATTCCCTTCGAAAAAAGAGATCTGAGCGCCCTTGAGTCAAAGATGCTCATCCCTTGAAGCGGGCCCAAAATCGATCTTTTCAAATGGCTTGTAGTAAAAACTTTGAAAGGGGCAGACGTTTGGCTTTTCTAGTATTGACCGTAGAAAAAGGAAACGTACTCCCGGAGCTCCCGCTTGAAAATCGCAACTTTGTAGTACGACCGTAGTACAGGAAGCGTACTCCCGGAGCTCGGGATTGAAAATGGCAACTTTGTAGTACGACCGTATAGTAAAGGAAACGTATTCTCGGAGTTTCGGCTCGAAAAAACGCAACTTAAAAGTACGACCGTAGTACAGGAAACGTACTCCCGGAGCTCCGGCTCGAAAATCGCAACTTTGTAGTGCGACTGTAGTAAAGGAAAAACGTACTCCCGGAGCTCGGGCTTGAAAATGGCAACTTCCTGGATTTTCGTCCTTCTGAAAAAACACGTAGTTTCCGCCTTTGACTGGATATTTGGGAAATCGTAGCACTTTTTGCCGCAAAAAATTGAAACTCCTAAACTCCTAGAAAACACACTATTGGAATGCTCGCGGCCTTTGACAGGTTAAAAGAAGCTTTGCAAAGTAAACGACTTGAAGCAGCCCGAAAGTTTGTCAATACATGCAACGGCGGTCCAAAGTTGTGCGGTGCAGAAAATACGTACCCATTTTGACCGCAAAACAACCGTAAATTTCGCTCAAATCTCCCGCAAAAACCCGCAAACTCCCGCAAATCAGAAAAGTTGTAGTTTTGATGATCAAGGCATCCCATGGGGTTCACTGGCACGTTGGCAAGTGCTGCGAGGTGTATTTACTTTGTATGGCCAATGCACGACTGGAAGCGACGCAATTCGTATCGTAGAGGTCTCCTAAAACACCCAGAAATTTCCCGGAGTTTGAAGGTCCAGGTTTGTGGTACGACCGTAGCAAAGGAAACGTACTCCCGGAGCTCCGGCTCGAAAATTGCAACTTTGTAGTACGACTGTAGCAAAGGAAACGTACTCCCGGAGCTTTGCTCGAAAATCGCAACTTTGTAGTACGACCGTAGTAAAGGAAACGTAACCGTAGTGAAGGAAACGTACTCCCGGAGCTCCGGTAGTACGACCGTAGTAAAGGAAACGTATTCTTGGAGCTTCGGCCCGACAATGGCAACTTTGCAGTACGACCCGGAGCTCTTCGGCCCGACATGGTCTGGGTGAGAAATCCGAGAGCTCAGTATTGGTTTTGAATTGGCATATTCTAAAAGTATAGTATTGGGGGCCCGGCGGTCGGGGAAGAATGGTATTTCTTATGGTCCATTTAAAAAGAGGGAACGGATACTTAAATTCTCCACAACCACACAACTCTCTAATTGTCGCCCCTTTGTCCTGTAGGACGGAGGTACATGGTTCTCTTCGAAACATACAGTAATATAATGCTATGTGAATGTAGCCTTTAAACGTTTGGTTTCATGTCTGCCTTGTTTCACGCCAACTGGTCGCTGGTAACAGCTGTATTTCTGGTTACCCCTTTGGGAGTGGGATTGGTTTGGATGTGACCTACTGTGGATGGACGAAATCCTGCACCACCTGAAAGGATAAATGCCAACCAACCATGAATTCAACCATGGTTTAGTGGTGCGCCATGGATTTCGCAGCCATCCACGGTAGTTTTTGAGGCTTGGGAAAGAACCCCCAGAAACCCAACCTCCAAACCGCACCGCAACCGAACGCTGCTCCGCCAGGGTGTCGGACTTTGTGGAGGTATTCCTCTACTACTGGGACAACCGCGATGGGCCCAACTTTGAAGGCCCTTAAGCCATTTGGCGGCCGAGAAGTCGCCGCGGCGTCTTGACTTCTTCGTTTTTGGTTGGGTTTTGTTTCGGGGGGGGGGGGGAGATGGGACGTGCTTTTTGGTTTTTTCCGCGAAACGTTTGGGTGAACCCAGTGAGACGTGCGCTCCCACGTGCCAGGCTGGTGGTTTGGCAACAAGCTTGGAGGGACACAGGCGGCGTGCCCAGAGACCTTGTTGCGCCCGGGGGCGATGTAACCCGTTTAGACCTGGGGGCTAAATCCGTGAGGTTTGCCTTTTTTGGGGTCGGTCTAAAGAGAAACCAAAAAAAAATACGACCGAAGCAACTTGCACTTGTTTTTTCACAGCTGTTGCCTAAGCAACCAATCTGTTTGGTTCCCTGAGCGAGTGGAAGCAGGGCTTGGTTCTTTGATCATATTCTTGGCGATTCCCTGATCTTCGCCCCTTGGTTGATCAGACAGGAGATTCCCCTGCCTCGCGGATGGCAGGCAAAACCGCCTCTGGAGGTTCGTCAAGTCACGTGGACTGAGCCGCAATCCAAGTTTGGGTTAAAGGATAGTAGGGAGCGGTTCAGGGTTCAAGAGTGGTTTCAACTGCAAGGTTCAATAGTTCAATAGTTCAAGGATCAATAGTTTAATGGTTCAAGGTTCAAGAGTTTAATGGTTCATGGTTCAACAGTAGGGGCGCCAAAATAAGTGTGGTTGATTCCCTATTATTCTTTGCAACCATCGTTCTTTTCAAAAACCGCCTGTTTCGCTGGGTTTTGATGGTTTCCTGGAAAGAAGGATCCCTGGAAAGAATGGGGGAAGGCAGCCCTAGAATTATTGACCTCCACCAAGCCCAACCAGCCAAGGAAAACTGAGGTGAACAGCCACTACATGACCACTGAGTAAAACACATTATGCATATATGTTCCAGTCCCCAGGCCACCAGCCCCCCCCCTCAAGGGTAGGGTCCCCCCCCCCGCCCAACCCCGGAGCACACAAATCCCCACACCCCACGGTCCCCAGACCCTCCCTCCTCCAGCCCCTGAACTCGCACTCTTGCATCCCGGACACGTAGGACAACTCAACCCACAACCAACCCCAAACCCCAACCCTAAACCAATCCTACGCCCCTGACCCTTAACCCGAACCCTAAACCAACCCTAAATCAACCTTAAACCAATCCAAAGCCAACCCAAACCATCCCAACACCCACCCAAACCCACTGTAAATCAACCCTTAGCCCACCCTAAACCAACCCGAAACTAACCCTATACCCACCCTAAACCAACCTGAAACCAGACCAAACCTAAATCAGCCCCAAGCCAACCCTAAACCCACCCTAAACCAACCTTAAACCAACCCCAAGCCAACCCTAAACCAACCCTACACCCACCCTAAACCAACACTAAGCAAACCCAAACCACACCCCAACCACCCACCCAACCACCCCACCGCACCCCCCCCACCCCACCCCCACAGGGGGGGGGGAGGGGAGGGGAGGGGGGGGGGGTCCACGGCCTGGAACATATATACAGTCACGCACAGTCACACGGAGTCACACATAGTCGCACGTAGTCACACATGTATATATATATATATATTGATTTAATGTACATGCATACATCGAGGTTTTTTCTGTATATAGAGAGATGAGTGGTTTGGGGTGATTGGACGCCACGTTATCTTGGCAACAAGGCAGGAGAAGGCGGCTCCGATTCGTGTGGAGTCGATTCCTGGTGCGTGGTTCGGAGCGTCGGAGGTGTGGTCGCACTGCGCTGACCGGGGCTTGGCCCCACCTGCCGGCGGATGGAAGATCCCCTGGGATGGTCAGGCCCCGTCCGGGAAGACCATGGAAATCGACGTGGGCGTGGATGTGTTTTTAGTTTTGTTTTTTGTTTTTTTCTTTTCCGGAAGCTTGGTACCCCAAATTGGGGTGGAGCTAAAAGCATATTATGTGGGCGTGCATCTTTTTCCGAAAGCGTGGTAACCCAAATTGGGGTGGAGGTAAAACATTTTATGTGGGCGTAGATGTTGTCTTTTTCCCAGGAAGCTCGGTACCCCAAATTGGGGTGGAGGTATAGGGAAGCCAAAAGCAAGCCTGAAATCCATTTTTGGGGGCCGAAGCCCTATTCCGTCGACACACTCGCAGCAGTAACCCCAATGGAGATCCAGGTAAGTGGCAAACTGAACCGTTTTGGGCGCTTCTGAATTCCTGGATGCACCCACAAGATGATCAAACACACGTGGTACAATCTGTGATCAGATGTGGAGTGTCCGGGCCGAGGCCCGAAACGTAGATGGCATCGTTGCTTTTTGTCGTTCTTTCGACGGAAGGGCAAGTTAGAACGAAGTCACTAGGAGGGTTTGAGACATCATACATATGGATCCCTCATTTTCGGCAGGTGAATTTTTGCCCACAAGCAATCGATTTTGGAAGTAATACATTTTTCCGTTGCGCTTTATTGTAGTTGGGTGGACACTTTGTCCTCTCGTCAACAGGGTACACCTGTTTTTTTTTGCTTGTTGGTTTCCTTTTCAAGAGACACCAAATGCAGAGAACGATAATTACACATTCTGGCCATTTTGTGTGTTGCATGACGCTGGGATGCCCATGAGGCGATAGGTTCCTAGGATCTCAAGCACTGGGTATCCAGGGTATGGCAAACCAAAGAAACACAACACAACCGTGCCTTTAGGCTTGCCTGAAGGAATTGGGCATGAGGTTGGGTCAAGCTTCCCAGATAGTAACATTTAGGAGGGAGGTGGACACACAAAATGTCACTACATGTTCAACACCAAGGGGACAAGCCCCCAATCTTTCCAGGGTAACAGCATATGTTGATGGCACTTGCCAGGATTCCGATATGAACTTGGTAGGTTTTTAAGGTGCCGACCCCTGAATGGCGACGCTCAAACAGGTTGCCCTTGCGCCTTTCTGGGTCGCAAGTGCCAGGTGCGGGCGACGCTGATTCTGGGCCCCAAGCAAAACATGCAGCGCCAGGACAGGGCTGGTGGGTCCGGAGAGGGACTTTGGGCCTTCGCGGGTCTGGGGTTTTCTGGGTATTGGTTTGGGTTTTTGGGGTCTCAAAATAGGTGGAAACCCTCTTCTGCAATTCGGCTTGAATGGGAACCAAGAGAAAGCTCCTGCCCTTTTTGTCCGGGAGCCTCTCCTGTCTGAGGGGCTAGTTTGAAATGATTGTTGCTTGTCACTTCAAATTTTGGTCGTCGTTCCCCAGCTGAAGGAAGTTAAATCAAGGACGTGGCAAGCCCTGGCACCATGGCGAGGCTCGGTGCAAGCGAAGGTTGGTATAAGAATCGGTGCGGGCCTCTCCGCCCTTCTGATTCTTTGCTTGTTTTGTTCTTGAAACAAAAACTACTGGTTTGTCATGAGTCTCATGTGACCCAGCCACAATAGCGGTCCCCCAAAATAGTTGTTTCTTCTCATACTTTCCCTTCCAAAAGATAGCCAAGCCAAAAGGACCCCGGTTGCTTCCCTTTCATAAAAAAGCACAGCAACAGGAGCCGGGGGTTTCACTTTAAAAGGAAAGCCACGCAGCTAGCTGTGCTGCTGGGTTGGATCTTTAGACTTCAACTGTTTGGATTCTCCTCATATTTCCTTGTAACCAGCAAAACGTAGCATGCTGCATCCACAGCACCCAATGCAAAAGCAAAACCTGCGCGGCGCCGAATTCCGAGCCCCTCATTCCATTCGCCGAATGCGGCCGCTGCTCGGCCGAAGGAGGCGGAGGGGAAGCTCAAGGCGATCAGCGCCGATGTGTCGAAGGTGGACGCCGAAGCCAAGCAGGCCATGCAGCAGGCGACGAGCGCGAGCGCGCAGCCGGCGCTCGCTCCGTCGGGGTTGGCGGAGGTCGAATTCGGGCTGGGAAAAAAACAGAGATCATGTAAGCAGACTTTTTTGAAAGGGGTGGATGGATTGAAAGACGGTGTTTTGAGACAAGGGGTGTAGGCATGGGTTGTTTGAAGGGTGTCTCAAGACTTTGTGCAGTGGATTCCCCTTTCAAAGGGTTTACCTGGTGCCCTTGTGTCCGCAGCACAATCCAGTGAAGTGCCCCTCTTTGGAATTTCTGCCAGGTCTCGCTAAAACTCGGTTCCTTGTCAAAGTTGGTTTGCTTTCAGCTGGTTGTCGAGAGCCTGGCCCCCAAATTGAGCATGGGTCACGTTTCCCATGTTCTTGAAATATCATTTTGAAGAGGTTTTGCAACCAATGGTCATCCCATGTAACATGTTTGAGTGACCTTTTTGTCCACCCCGGGATTTTTCAACCCTGGCCCCGGCAGTTCTGACCACCCCGGGCGCCAGGCCACGGCGCTGTGCGGAAACAACAGCAGCTTGCAGGCGCTGCAGCAGGCGGAGCAGATCTTGGCACCCCACTCCCAGGCCATGATCGAGGCGCTTGGCGCTGCGAACCGCCCGTTTCGGGGAACCCGAAGGCCGAAGTATTTGTTTTTCCCAGGGGAACGGAGCGGAGGGTCAGTTCAGGAAAGCCAGTAAAAGGACTTTCGGACTCATGATTCCGCTTTTTACCCATGCGGGTCACCAAGGGAACCACCTTTTGAAAACCCAAATGGACACAACTGCCTGGAGTCTTCATGACCCTTAAAAGATGGGGTCATTACACAAAGTAACTCATATTTAAAGGGTCATGGAGACTCCAGGTGGTTACCTACTAAAAAACAAACTGGGATCAACTGGGCATTCCAAAGAAAGTTGGAGAGCAGCTGCCTGGCTAGCCTTGGCGAGAGCGGGCACGGTGGGTAGGGCAAAAAAAGGTTTTTCCCCCCGTGGATTTTTCCTTGGAGCCGTGTGGGTGTGTGAATCCCTTACGGCTTCCATTTTTCCCACCCATATGAGGGTGAACAGTTCGGGACCCTTCCGGGTAATTGGTTTCCTCTTGGTTTTCCTTTAGAGTCCGACTTGCTTGGTGTGTGTGTGTGTGTGCATTGTCCAGGGCTCTATGGTCCATTTGGACGCGCATGGTTTTGCCTCTCATATATTTTGGTGCACCGCTAGTTAGTTGGAGATGTGACTCTTCGAATGTGTTGATTCTGCACTGTGGTGCCGCATGCCATCGTTCCGAACGGCGGGTTAAAATCCTTTTAAGGTTAATTAAAAAAAATGTAGAGCCCTGCTTGGGTTTGTCTTAAAAAGGGTTCTTTACTGGAACACACGGGTTTAAGTCCTTTGCGGGGGAAACCAAACAAATGGAACCCTGTGTGGGTTTGTCTCAATTCTTGATTTCCTTTCCATTCCCAAGAAGGTATCCGCAAACAAGGACACCCATCTCATGCGTGAGAAGTACAGCCCGAGTCAGGTTTATCATATTTATTTCCCCTGAAAGGGTTGCTTTGAACATCGCCTTGTGGTGAAGAAAGGGAAATATATTGGGAACTTCCTGGTACTGTGGATGGACAAAATCCTGCACCATTTTGAAAGCATGGGAAACCATGGTTTGTTGGTATTTACAGGGAACCATCATTCCAGGGTTTCTTAGGTGGTGCCGGATGTCGCCCATCCACAGTATTGAAAGCACGGGTGTGAGTGAGGTATGTCGGCTTGAAGCAAAGTGTGAAATGAAGCTGTGGGGCTTAGCCAAAATGAAGCTACGTGAAAGGTAAAGAATCGAGAAAGCACGTTCAGTTAAAGAGGGGCTGGCAGATGCTTGACCACGCATCTGGTGGCGCTGTGACTTGTTGTGCACACCTGCTTTATCCCTGTCACGAGGCGAACTCTAGCTTGTTGTCTTGCATTGTTTGCTGTTCTGTTTGTTTGCAGTTTTGCATTGGGACTGGTATGCTCAGTCGGGAGACAGTCTGGCGCAGGTTTTCCGGACGCCCATTCTTTGAGGCGCGGTACCCTTTTTGGGTTTGTTTTGAAGAGAAATCAAAGGAGCAAGGCAAACCATTTTGGGGTTCGAAGAACCCTAAGAAACTTGGGACCTCATTTGTCGTTTTGACTTTTTCACGTCCAACCTCTTCCAATTGGAGATCCTGACTGTTGAGACAGGTACCCTTTTGGGTATTGTTGAAAAGGGGAACCAAAGGAACAACCCACATCTTGGGGTGCAGCTCTGGATGTTGTTGGTGGTAACCACATATGCATACATATTCCATCTGGAGACAGTGCAACCCCTGGAATTTCCTGGAGTCTCCACGACCCTTAAAAAATGGGTCAATTACCCCATTATTTTGGGTAATGCCCCCAATTTTTTCAGGGTCATGGAGACTCCAGGTTGGTGGGGCCGCATATTCCACCCACAGCTCCAGCTTTCGAGGTGCAGAGAAAGCTGGCCGAGGGCCAGAGGGGTCAGCAGGGCGACGTGGCCCGGAACTTTGTGCAGTTGGCCAACCAGCTCAGGACCGCCATTCCGCTCCGGGCGTGTCGGTCGGCCAAAACGGGGGGGGGGGGAGGGGAGGATGTTTGGACCCCCCGATTCAGCCGGCCGCCGAATCTCGGTTTCCAATTTAGGCCAAAAAGGGTCTACAAAGCCAGGGCTGCAACAAATTGTCAGATATTTGTAGATAAATCCGCTGACAGACGGCGTGTCGGAGATGGGAAATGCTCCTTACCTGTTACCCCTTACCCCTGCCTCAAAAAGGACACCAAGTTTGCTTCTGGTACCCCAAAAGCAGGCTCAATTTCTCGTTCTCTCTTGGACCTACAAAAGTGGAAGCTTCATGGGATACCAAAGAGGGTGGCACAAACACACAATAAAGTTTCCTTTTGGGTCCCTTAGAGTGGCTGGCAGCTGGCTATGTGGCTGGCTGCACCCCTTCTCGATTTTTTCGCCGGTGATGTCCAGCTCAAATTCCCTTTCAAGTGACGGACGACTCATGGTGTCACAGGGGAAATTGTCCACAACCGTTCAGCGAGAAGTATGTCATGGTTACGGACTGGTGGTTTGGGGATTTGCAACTCTGATTCTTGAGGGAATATGGGAAACCACCCCCGGAACCCCTCCAAACTGCCAATCCGTCTGCAAAACATTTCTATATTTAGACCAATTGGATGTGACTTTTAGAAGCTACCCTTGGGTTGGTTTTAACGGGAAACGGAACCACTTTCTAGAGTCCCCCTGTAAGAAATAAAGCAGAAGGTTATTCTTTGTTTTGGACCGAGCAGATTATTTTCCGCGTACTGGCCAAGAGTTTGCTTCAGGATGACCCAGCAGTCCCTGACGCAGCTGACCACGAAGTATCGCGACGCCAAAGCTCAGGTGCTGCTACTGAACGCGCGTCGCCTGCGTTTCGCCCTCGGGGGGGGGGGGGCTTCGGAAAAAAAGAAGAAGAGAAAAGACGCCGCGTATCCAGGGCTTCTCATTTTCGAGAACCTCTTCCCGTCATTCTGCGGATTTTTTCGTGAGGGGTTACAGCGATGCGACCACCACAATTACTGTAAGGGTTTTTCACTTGGGATCCTGTATTTCAGGCTTTGAGGTCTTGCAACATTTACAGACTTATTGGGCCTTGGGAGAGGTCACAAGCTTGGTCATGTTTTTTGGACCGCCGCGAGAGCGCCTGTCCGCTTTGTTGTTGGTTGAAGTGGATACCAGAGGGTTGCACCTTGAACCTTGAACCATAGGTGTCCTTTTCAGGTTCGTTTGGTTAGAAATAGATGCACGGGCTTAGATTGGTGTTAACAACATTTCGCTTGCCAGGGCCAACCATGTTTCCAGGTCACCTATGCCTTGAATCAGTTTTGGCCCCAAGAACCTCGCTCCGCCAACGCAGCGTAAGGGGCTTCCAGGTCACTACTCCCCCTTTGCCCGTTGCTCAATGAATCAGGAGCGGACATGGAATTTTGGCGAGTCAGTCCTAACGTGTCCTAAGGGTATTATTGTGAGTGTGCCGCTGATTTTTGGGAATTTTGGGGAGTCAGTCCTACCGTGTCCTAAGGGTATTGTGAGTGTGCCACGAATTCGTCCCCGCTGCTCTCTGCCTTTTCCGGAATTGGAATCAGCTCGGGGCCCAGCTTTGGCCGTCCAGCTTTGGCCGTCCAGCTTTGGCCGTCTTGGGAACATGTTCCATCCAGGGCAGGTTTCTCAAGTCAGTTTGAGGTATAGGAAAATAAATATACACTTGCAAGTAACCATGAAACAACGGCACAGGACACTTCACTCCAAATTATCCTGGAACTGCAAGTAATTTCCATTTTCCGAGAGAAGTCTCATTGTTTCTTAACTGCTATTGGGTTGGATCTTTAGACGTCAACTTTTTGGGAAATCAAGGGGTTTTCCGCTGAACCCCAAAAAGTTAAACTTTTTGCAGGGGGGTCAACAGCAATCAGGATTTGGGGACCCCTTTAAGTTTCCTTCCATGACTTTGCAGCGGTACGTCCCTTGGTTTTCCCCGTCCAGGCCGAGAAGCAGGTGAAGATGGCCGATGCGGAGCTACGGGAGACCAAGGCCTTTGAGGAGATGCGGAGATGGGGAGCCAAAGTCTAGGGGTCGATTCCTTTTCCATTCCTTTAAAAATGGGTCAATGACCAACCATTATTTTGGGTAATGACCAACCATTTTTTAAGGGTCATGGAGACTCCAGGTGCTCGTAATAGGTACTGTAGGCCAGCGATGGGTATGTGGAAAGAATGGGGAAGTGTTCCCTACAAAAAGGGGCCCGACTTCTGCTGCCTGCTTTCCAAGAATTATGGAAGTGATGGATGGATGGAAGTGATGGATGGATGGATGGATGGATGGATGGATGGATGGATGGATGGATGGATGGATGGATGGATGGTTGGATGGTTGGTTGGTTGGCTGGTTGGTTGTGGCCTGGGGCTGGCCCAAAAGGAAAGTAGTCCAGCAAAGCCCTCCGATCCTCAGCAGCCATTATTGGAGGGAGGGTCAAACTTCTGTTCAACTGGTTGGAGTCTGCCAGTGACTGCTGGAATTTTCTCAAATGAGTGCTTTCCTCTTTGAAGAGACCCCCGCAGTTCGCTCAGAAACGAAGCCTCCAATCTTACTAAACGCGCTTTAGCTGCGTCGCGGCGAGGACCTACTGCCTGAAACCACTCAGAAATGCACCATGGCAGAGGAGGCCATGGAGAAGGCGGGGCGAATGAGCCACATAAGACATACGGAAAGTGTTGGAGAGGGAGTTGCCACAGGTTTCTGGGCATGATGCTTTCCCAAGTTCAACAAGTTCAAAAAGGATTGGATGCTTTTGGGGTTTGGGAATACCAATCTATTTGCAAGAGAAGGCTGAACTTGGATCTGTAGGACCTTTGGCGGAATCCGGTTTTGGGCTCCCTTCAAACGGCCACAACTTCGGGTGTCCGGTGTCCCCCCTTGTTCCGCGCGCGCGCGCGCGCGCGTCTGCTCGGTCCATTCCGAGGCCGTGGCCACTCACGAGACCATCGCAGGGGCCGGGGCAGACCTGGACCAGGCGGCGGAGGGGGCCTGGGAAGCCTGGCCTTGAGGGAAAATTTGTTGGTTTCACTTCCACGTGTGAAATCAATAGTTGTGTTGTTCCTTCGTGGCTTTGAAAGGAAGACGTCGTTCTCTTGTGTTTTTCCTTTGTGGCTTTGAAAGGAAGACGTCGTTCTTTTGTGTTTTCCTTCGTGGCTTTGAAAGGAAGACGTCGTTCTTTTGTGTTTTTCCTTCGTGGCTTTGAAAGGAAGACGTCGTTCTTTTGTGTTTTTCCTTCGTGGCTTTGAAAGGAAGACGTCGTTCTTTTGTGTTTTTCCTTCGTGGCTTTGAAAGGAAGACGTCGTTCTTTTGTGTTTTTCCTTCGTGGCTTTGAAAGGAAGACGTCGTTCTTTTGTGTTTTTCCTTCGTGGCTTTGAAAGGAAGACGTCGTTCTTTTGTGTTTTTCCTTCGTGGCTTTGAAAGGAAGACGTCGTTCTTTTGTGTTTTTCCTTCGTGGCTTTGAAAGGAAGACGTCGTTCTTTTGTGTTTTTCCTTCGTGGCTTTGAAAGGAAGACGTCGTTCTTTTGTGTTTTTCCTTCGTGGCTTTGAAAGGAAGACGTCGTTCTTTTGTGTTTTTCCTTCGTGGCTTTGAAAGGAAGACGTCGTTCTTTTGTGTTTTTCCTTCGTGGCTTTGAAAGGAAGACGTCGTTCTTTTGTGTTTTTCCTTCGTGGCTTTGAAAGGAAGACGATGTTTTTTTGTTTGTTTCCCCCGTGGCTTTGAAAGGAAGACGATGTTTTTGTGTGTTTCCCCCCGTGGCTTTGAAAGGAAGACAATGTTTGTTTGTTTGTTTCCCCCGTGGCTTTGAAAGGAAGACGATGTTTTTGTGTGTTTCCCCCGTGGCTTTGAAAGGAAGACAATGTTTGTTTGTTTGTTTCCCCCGTGGCTTTGAAAGGAAGACAATGTTTTTTGTGTGTTTTTTCCTGGTGGCTTTGAAAGGAAGACGATGTTCTTTCTTTGGTTTCCCCCGTGGCTTTGAAAGGAAGACGATGTTTTTTGTGTGTTTTTCCCCGTGGCTTTGAAAGGAAGACAATGTTTTTTGTGTGTTTTCCCCCGTGGCTTTGAAAGGAAGACAATGTTTTTTGTGTGTTTTCCCCCGTGGCTTTGAAAGGAAGACAATGTTTTTTGTTTGTTTCCCCCGTGGCTTTGAAAGGAAGACGTTGTTTTTTGTGTGTTTTCCCTGTGGCTTTGAAAGGAAGACATTGTTTTTTGTGTGTGTTTCCCCCGTGGCTTTGAAAGGAAGAAGTCGTTTCCTTTTCTGTTTTTCATTGAAGGAAATTGTATCTTTGATTTTCCGTCCAACTGGTAGATTAAATGAGGAATTCGCCAACTGGTCAAGGGAATTTGTTTTGTTATTTTTCAGTGGCTTTGAAAGGACTCCATACCACTCTTGCACAATTTGTTTATTTGTTTTTCAGGGGGCTTAAGCAAATGGAGCTTACGGAGCAAGTTTTGTGGTGTCAAAAGGCAACAGGCAAGCTAGTGTTAAGGGGTGTAGAAAGGCAAAAGGAGAGCGAACGCTCGCTTTGGATTCGGATTCAAGGGGTGCACCAGTACGGAACCCCAAAGAACACGCAATCCCTGTCTTCGGACATACTTTGTATGTACCGATAGATCCACAGATCAGTTTTGGAGGACTCCTTCTTAAGCGACAAACCAAATTAGTGGGCCCACAAACCAAACGGTAAAACGGAGGTCAAAACAGGTTCGGGGTGAAACATCGGGGGTTGAGTTCCTCGCACTTGACTTTTGTTGAGAAAGGACTCCATCCCGTGTTGCAAATTATTGACTCTCTGTCCGCCTTTAAAGGTGGGTTTGATTGGTTTCCCTCAACCTTAAAGGGAGCCCTCAAGAAAAAGGAGGCTCCCATTTGGGTATGAACATAGATGTGCCCCGAAGAAATCGGCTTGGTTTCCCAACCAAAGGTGAAAGGCATGCCCTCAAGACAGGTGAAGGGAAGCCACAACCCGTGGGTAAAAGGCAATTATAGGGGATTCCTCAACAAAACACACAGACACACACACACACACCCATGTCGGGCATGTGTCAAAATAGGGGGACCCCAAAATTGCAGTTCTCTCTTCGGTTCCGTTTCGAACAGGGTACCCTCAACAAAACACACACACACACACACACAATCCATGGATGTTTCTCAAATGGTGGATTTCGATTTGATGGGATTGAACGGGAAACCCAAAGGAGACTAACAAATCTTCCAGGACCCATCAACATTATGAGAAACACCTATACGGGTTCATCTTTAAAACCCCCAACAAAATGATTGGCTTCCTTTGCCCCCTTAAAACCAAGCCAAACCGGGGGCCCTAAAAACGAGACACCTAAATCAAATGTGGGGCAAGAATTGCTGGTTTCGTAGTATAGGTGATAACTAGCTTCACTGGGCCATCTGACTTCACGGGCTCGCTCCGTGCGCTTCTACCAGGCGCAGAAGGCGGTGGGCGACACCGAGGTGGCGGTGAAGGAGGCGGAGAAAGCGCTGGGCGAGGCGCGGCATGGCCATGGGTCAAAACCAATGGTACCATTTTGGTCGGTAGGCTCGCCAAGAGCCCCCCCCTGGCACTCAACTGCACGCGGTTCGCCATTTGGCTGTGGGTCAAACCAATGGGATCCCATTTTGGTCGGTAGGTGAATTCACCACCCATTTTAGGACCTATTTTAGTGGTTGGATTGAATCGGATGTTCACTGGGGGTACGATTTGGGTTTTGACCCACAGCCACATCAGGTTTTGTTGGTTTCTACTCGACGCACATGGGATTGCAGGATTCCTCGGTTGCTAACGCCAGAACATCGCTTTGCATTGGCTGCAGGAAAAGCCACACTCTTGGCAATGCAACAATGTGCAGTTCAGGAATTCACTGACTTGATTCTTTTTGGGGCCTTCTCCTTCTCTCCCCCCTCCCCGATAAATCGCCGCGTTGAACAGACACTGTCGCGCTATCGCAAAGGCAAGCAACACTGCAATCTGTACCCATGCCAATCACCGGCCATTTAGATTGCGTGCAAGATTGGTGGTACATACATTCATTTGAGAGGGACAAGGGGGAGCTCCTGAATTTCAGCCACGGGCAGGAAACCCTAAGAACAAGTCATTTTACCTGAGGCTCATGCAGGTGTGTGTGTGTGTGTTGTGTGTTTTGTGTGTTTTGTGTTTTTTGTGTGTTTTGTGTTTTGTGTGTGTGTGTGCGTGTGTTGTGTGTGCTGTGTTGTGTTGTGTTGTGCTGTGCTGTGCTGTGCTGTGTTGTGTTGTGTTGTGCTGTGCTGTGCTGTGCTGTGTTGTGTTGTGTTGTGTTGTGATGTGTTGTGTTGGTTGGTTGGTTTGTTGTTTGTTTTTTTGTTTGTTTGTGTGTTTGTTTGTTTGTGTCTGTGCTTTTGTCTGTGTTTGTGTCCGTGTTTGTGTTTTGGGGCATGGGGGGAGGGTACCATCCCGCCATGAGCCAAGGCTGCAACGAGAAACGTGCTACTCTCATGGCTGGGTGCTTCGTCTTTGGGTTCCGGGGTCCGTGAGCTCATTTGCATTGAGGGACTTTGGCCAGGGCCCTGTGTGATGTTTTAGACCCCAAGGTCGGTCTCAGGGGAAGCCGAAGGGAAAACGGCCAGAGGCACTCTCACCCTGCCGAGCAATTTGGCCAAGCATTTGTTTGGGCGGTTACCTTAGACAAAGGGAAGCCAACACGTTGGGAATCATTTGCATTTCTCATCCTGCATCCGTGGATCAGGCCAGAATGGTGCTTCAAGACACTTGGATTCAAGTCGAGTGCTTTTTTTTGTTTTTCGCGCGCAGGATTTTTGTTCGTTCGGGGAGGGGGCAAGCCACCCAAACACAAACCCACACCATCCTGTTTGCATGCCGTCTTGGGGAATCCAAATCATGTTGCCAGTCTCACTTGCCCAAAGCCGCCCCTTGTGACCTGCTGAGGCTCCCCCGTTTTTGTCTCGAGCCGTGGCCCCAAATCGACCGGGCAGCTGCTCATCCGGCCGAGGGCAAGCTGAACTTCGCGAGGCGTTTTGAGGCGCCCAAGGTGAGGGACAACGCGAGCCAAGAGCTGAACAAGATGATGGCCAAGTTGCAGACCGCGCAGACCTGAGCGTTTTTTTCCCAGTGGCCCTTTACCAAAAACATGGCGAACCTGAATTTTGCCCCTTCCTTTTCTTATGGAGGGGGATGCTTTTGCTTGTCTCAAAAACCAAGGGACTCCAAGTCAAATAGGGCGCCAAATCCTGAAGTTGGGCGCCAAATCCTGAAGCCCGAGCTTGAGACGAGCCAAGCCGCAAGACACAAACTGAGGCCAGCGTGTGGCGTTTGGGGCGTTTGCCCGAGGTGCAAAGCAAGCTCATGCCCCTGAAAACTGCCCGGCACGAGCTCGCGCAGCGCGCTGCGGCACAGAAGAGCCTTGAAGCAAAATTCCTCCGACTGGGCGAGTTCGGTAGGTGGTTTTACGCAACTTGCTTGAACAAGGGCTATAGAAAGGCCCTATCAACCTTTAGAAGCATGGTAACCTGGTAGAATAAAACCAAAAGCCAGCTCGGATTTTCGCTGCTGAATTGTCGGGACGGTCCCAACCGCAAGCACAGTCGCGGGTGCCTTTACGGATTTCCCTTGTTGTGGTATTTTCCACATTAGGGGCCCTTTTGCCGCGAGCGCCGCTTGCTTGGATGCCCCGAAGGAGCTGGGGGAAGTTTGAACAACCGGCAGAGATCGCTTTCCGGGTCCAAGGAGGGCATATGTTTGCCAACACTCTTCCTTTTAGACTTGTCGAGTTTCGACTTGTACTCGTGACAGCTGATACGGGAAACGCATCAAAAAGGGTTGGTAGACGTAAAACTCTCAAATGGTGCCCATGAAGGGTCCCTTTCGCGGCAGCACGGAGGTTCCCTCACCGACTGGCTTCTGACAAGCAGCCATGTAGCCTGTTTCACCTGGCCCGCTGCCTATTCTTACAGGGATCCAACTACGGCTGAACGGCCTTGATTGAATGGGGATGGTACTTCAGTCCTCAACTCTGCACTTGAACAGTTAGATGATACCTGAGGTTGGGTCCAAATGTCCGGTAGTCCATCAGCCCCTTTCAACCCCTTTCAACCCCAAATCTCTGAAAACCCCAAATCAGCTCCCGGAATCCATCCTGCATGTTAACCTCCATTTAAACCCCATGTCAACTCAAAATAAATTGGCTTCTTCCCCACTAGGGTTGACCCAAAGCGAAACTACCCTGCAGCAAAAACAGAACCTGATTTGGGATAAACTTCCACTAACCAAGCCGTTGCAACAAAAGAGAGGGATTTTTTCTTGGGAGGCCCAAAGGGAAACCGCCAATTTTAACTGACCAAGCTGGTTGCAAGCAAAGAGCGGAAAATCCGGTCCATCCCTCGCGGGCCCTCGTTTCCGCTTCCGCGAGTCTGCGGCTCAGGACGCTGAAGGAGCTCCAGGAGAAGCTGACCCCCCTGGCGCAGGACGTCCAGGCCGCCGAGAGCGCGCAGCACGCCGCGGAGGCGGAGGAGGCCACGGAGGCGGCGGCGAATTCGGGCGGAGCTTCCGGGCGCGTGAGTCACGCGTCCGGTCTGGGCGTCAAAAAGTTCGAAGAGGAGGAGGAGGTTCTCGCCTTTGGGGTCCACTCAATTTGAGATGTCAACTTTTTTTGGGTATGTGATTTCGGGGTATTTAGAATATTGACAAAGGTGCTCACGAATTTTCTCAAACGGAAAAGCAAGAGTGGATGTTCCTTCCTTCTAGTGCGCCGGGAAAATAAAACACACATCCAAAAGGGGCTCCGTTTTGAGAAACACCCCCCATGTTTCCTTTCGCTGGATGTACAGCCCGCCTTTTGGGTCGGACACATTTTTCGGGAGCCCTGGTTTGGGGAGTCGTGACAGCCTGGCCATAGAGGCGAGCAGCTGGAGAGCCTCAGACCCAAATGGCTGTGGTTGTCAAAACCGTTTTGGGATCCCATGTTGGTAGGTGAATTCACCACCCAGTTTAGAACCTATTTTAGTGGGGAGTGGGGTGTTCACTGGGGGGTACGGGTTGGATTTTGACCCATGGCCAAGTAGCATTGGGTAGGACAGGTTTTGGCTTGTCATTTGAGGTTCGGTAAAAACGATCAGCATTCTATGGCGAGTTTCAATGAAGACCAGCGAAACAGGGGTCGGGACCCTTTGTGCCGTGTTGCTTGGAAACGTTGGTCATTTTTTGACCGTGGCTCAAATGAGCCGTTTGGCCGGCTTCGGGTGTGTTGTTTGAGGATGCCCATAGGTTCAGTTACTGGGAGAAGAGAAGGGCTCCACCCTTTGGCGGTTTGTGGCTTCCCGATGGAGCATCCCCACGTTCAGAATGTGGAGATGGGTTGTTCTCTCTGGTTGCCAAAGAAAAGCAACACTTTTGCCGCATCTTCCATCCGTTCTATGGATCTGTCCACAAGCCCAAAGCCGGGGAACATCATGGCGCCTTGAATTCCAGAGCCTCTCCTTTGTGCATGGCGAATCATTTTTCTGAACCTCAAAGGTGGTGATGAGGATCGTCATGTCTTTTGAAAGGGTCCCCTGTTCCAAAGTTTTTTTACCCACAGACCGCACACAAACAGCTCAGTTGTTTTTTTCTTCAGAGATTGGAGAACGGGCCTCGTACACATGCTGGATCGCACACCCAAACTCGGCAAATGGGCTTGGCTCAGAAAACTTTGCGGTAGACCCGCATTTTTGTTTTCCGAATCTTTCTTTGGGCTCTTCTTTTTGTTCAAATTTCCCCCTTGGTTTCCCAGAAAGCTTTACTTTGCTTTCACTTTGGTTTCCCCCCCAAGACCCGAAATATCCGGCCTGTTCCTCCGTTCCGCCCGGCTTTGTGCAAGGAGCAGAAGGCGGCGGCCGAGGCGGCGACGCAGAAGGCGGGGCATCAGCTGGAAGCGCTGTGGAAGCTGATCGCGGCGCGCCCCGGCGGAAGGCGGTGACTTCGCTGGGGCAGCTGGTGATCCAATTGGAGATCCTGACTGTTGAGACAGGTACCCTTTTGGTTCGTGTTTTGTCAGAGAAACGGAACAACTCTAGTGCCTTCCATGTCCATTCTTTCCGGGGATCCGAATCTTTTCAGGAAAGACCATCAAAGACCTAGGGGAAACACAGCTGGTTTTTGAAGAGAACGATGGTTGAAAAGAATGGAAAAGGAGTCAACCCCTAGAAACCAACCAAGCAAGCAACCAGTTGGGCAACAGGGCAACCGGGCGGGTGCCCCTTGCGGGGAATCATCACGGGAACAACCCCCCTATTGGTAAACTAGGGTTGATTAATATGAGGGACCATTACCAGGCAACCA